GAGACTTTTAGTGTCCATGAAGGTCTCTGCTGCCGTAGATCCTCTGAACTGTGACAGAGGTCTCACTCTGGAGGAAACTCTCAGCACTTTCCAGCAGCTCCTCCATCATGGAGGACGTTCCCTCACTGTAACAGGTGGAGGAGAGAGGAGAGGAAGCACAGGTGGATCCTCTGAGGAAGAGGAGCGTCCTACAACCACATGATCACATGACCAGAGTTGTTTATGATAAAGTCACATTGATGGGTTTTCAGAATTGTCTTTTACCTGTTATGTCACCATAGTAACTGACTGAAAACATCCATTTCTGTTGCTTATTATTATTTCTGTTTTTCTTTATTTCAAGCATGTAAATAATCAGTAAGTGACCATGACGGTGTCACAGGAACATGTTCCAGTTTGAAGGTCGGTCTCTACCAAAGCAGACCTGTGATCACTTTAAGAAAGTGACCTGTGGTCTGTATGTCGTCTGTCTTTGTCCCGGTCCTCGGGTTTGGGGCCATGTTTGAATTTTCGTTTGTATTTTATTGATTTATTTGTAATTAAATTATAAGTTATTCTAATTTGACAGGCAAGTTTAACTGATTCATAATTTTTTTCCATGTTTGTTCCTGTTCATGTTTTTGGAAAGCACTTGGTAACAATGGCTTTGAAAATGTTTTCTGAATAAACTTTTTTATTATTATTTACTTTTTATAGTGTTTTTTGTTTAACAGTTAGATTTGTTTTCCCAGTCGATGTTTTCCTGGATGTTCCCGTCTCACCTTGTTTTTCATCTCTTTGTCCTCGTCTCTGTTATTATCTTCTTGTCTCTGAATTCATTTTGTTTTGATTTTACTTTTGTTTCCTGTCACTATTCATTAAAACCATAAAGAATGAAATCTACAATAAACTGTTCACTCTGTGATTAAAAACAACATGATTTTTAAAAAGGCTTTGAATTTAAAATCTTACAAGTTGTTTACAGTAGATGATTAAGAACTTCAATCTCTGTACGTGCTTTTAATGCTCGCTGCCATCAGTGAGCTAAAGACAAACAAGTGTTGCTGCAGAAAAACTATTATTATTACTTATTTTGGCCAGACAGCCACTTTTTCTCTCTTGTAGTGGCTTTTGTGGTGGCGCAGTGTTTGTTTCATGCAGTGGGGTAAATCCAAATCATGAGATGGTAGCTAAGTAAAATGGTTATGAGTAAAAGAACGCATGTATTGCTAATTAATATCAAACGTAATATAATGAGTTACAGATTTCATTATTTTGTGTGAATTTCAGCGCCCCCTGCAGCCCAGGTAAAGCACTGGTAAGCCTTCAAAGTTCGTACCTGGGTTAGAGAGATCCCACCCAGTTCTTTTTCCTGAACAACCAGGACAAAGTCACAGCCAAGCTTTAAATAAGTGACAAAACACTTCAGTTAAACGCACAGGAGCTTAAAGTGACTTCATTAGATAAAAAAGTGAAATGAATGAATCAGATTCAGATTAAAAACGAATATGATGCGTTTCAGAGTTACTGTTTAAGTTCATGTAAATGTGTATGGGTGCAATAAGCAAAACAGAAACTCATTACAGCAAGTGACAAAAGTGTCTGGAGAAGCCTCCATCACAGCCAGTGTTACTGTGTCATACAGTAACAAACTGCTTTCTTTCCACATCTGTCTGCACAGTAACGGGACTTCCTCTGCAGTTAATTTATACTTTCTATTTCGTGTTGCATTATTTTATTTTTAGAGCACGTTACCTGACTGGTTTTGTCCCTGCACTGTTCTGTGTAGCATCTTCAAATGTCCACTAGATGTCACAAAGACACAGTGAACGTGGAACATG